CGGAGTTTCACCGACTCATCAGGAGGCTGAACCCTCAACAGTCTGTAGAATCCCCTCACTGATTACACTGTAAGTGATATGCTGTACCCGTACCCAGACCCGAACATTTCCGGACATGGAACCGGACGTGTGTCCGGTAGTTTCCGGATGTCCGGAATTCCGGACATGGAGGGATCCGGCCGGTCCGGATGTCTGGACAGGTCCGGAAATGTCCGGACCGTTTTTTTTTTTATCTGAAAAAAAAGTATGTTATGCAGAATAACAATGCAAACCACTTCTGCCTCAGAGTCGTGTCAGAATTCCTAACCAAACTTTAGTTAAAAGTCAAAAACTATAAAAAAGATTACAAAAAGGACTTTAAAAACTAATAAAAGGTATTAATAATTTAAAATTTTGGGTTGTCTAATAAATTATTATAGAGAGAGAGCATGTCCGGACCCCCAAACAAAGCATAAACGGGCCTGAAAACCCCCCAAAACAAATTTGGGGGCTTGACTCAATGGGGAAGGGTCCTGGACCATGTTTTTTTTTTTTTTTTTTTTTTTTTCGTCAAAAAAACTGGCAGATCCGGACCTTCCAGATTGGACGTCTGGAGTCCGGACTGAATCCAGACCGTCTGGACGTTGGTCCGGACGTCCAGATCGTAGCCATGCTATATACCCAAGAAGAAAATACATATTATTTAATTTATTGCAGTATTATATCATTTTCCATGTAGATTTCCCATTTGCATAAAATGCAGCGATAACGCCGTTCTATGGAGAGCAGCTTGTATAGCCTCTCCTCGACGATGTTTTAAAAAAAAACAAAAAAAGCACTACTGTCCCAATTGACCCAAGTTCTCTGCTGGTGCGTATAGAAGGACCACATCTTCTCATTTATTACCCCTATATTGTCATCAACCTCCTACCCCTACAGAGAAAGGAAACTGAATCAAGGACTTCGATGAAGAGAGTAATCAAGAACATCAATCCCATTAAAAGCCAGGTGCATCATTTTGAGCTACCCCTGCGGTGTGCTATCCTCTGAGACAGCCCTAGGTCAGCTATGGCAGCTTGCCACTCTCTTTCAATATTTCTACACCACCAACTTGCTATTCTCTGTGATAGTCCTAAAAGGTACACAAAGCAGCTTGGTAGTTTGCTGGCTTGGAAGTTTGGTATTCTCTTGGTAGTTTGCTATTCTCTGAGACAGTCCTAAAAGGTACACAAAGCGGCTTGGTAGTTTGCTATTCTCTGAGATAGTCCCAAGGTATGCAAAGCGGCTCGGTAGTTTGCTATTCTCTGAGATAGTCCTAAGGTACGCAAAGCGGCACCGTCGTTTGCTGGCTTGGTAGTTTGCTATTCTCTGAGATAGTCCTAACGGCTCTGAGATAGAGCAAAAAAAAGCAGCAAGGCATGCCAGTTGGCTGGTAGTTTTTTGCTAAGTGCAAGTAATAATAAGTTGGCACCACTGGCATCACATATAACAGTGTGTCTCACTGCCAAACTTAGCAGTCACTATGAATCAAGCAAAAGGGACAGGAGAAGGGAGGGGGGGGGGGGGGGGGGGGGGGGAGAGGCATGGAGCAAGGGAGGTTCAGCGTTGTGATGGCGATAGTGAAGGGCGTTGTTGAAATGCCGCAGGCTGCTCATTCATGAGCATTGCCAACCATCCCATTCTCACAATACCTTGTATAAAATCAAAAACAATCTGCAAGAACTACCAAACATAGCGCAATGCGTAAACTGCCTATTGAAACCTGTGAAAAAGGGAAGGGGAAAAAGTTCGGACAAAAACAAAACAAAACAAAACAAAACAAAACAAAAAAACAAAAAAAACGTGCAGTGGAAAGGGAACAAAGGAAAAAAGAAAAGTACAAAAAAAAAAGAGAAAAAAAAGGCGGCGCATATGCACAAGCGAAGAGCATAGATCATCATCAGGTGATTGGAACGGATAGCATGCTCCATGCACGTGACAGGGATGATCCGAATGAGAGAGAAAACTCGGAAGGTAACCCCCCCCAAAAAAAAAAAACTTGAAAAAGAAAGATCGAAAAAATGACACTGACGTATTCAATTAAAAAATAAAAATAAAAAAATCTACTGGCGTCTTTGCCTTTTGAATCGCTCAAGGGCACCGAGCGATTTTCCCTCTTCCTCTGTCCTCGTGTCGTTTTGATTGCTAGCGCTTGCAGTCTCCTGAAGATGCTTCGCTTTCTCCGCAAACTCACCAAACACTGCAGATGGCACGGCCTTCTGCGTAACTTCGATATCGCCCCCAGCCCGACCATCTTCGTCCTCCTCCATCTCCTCGTCGTCATCTCCCAATTCTATCTCCTCCGGGTTGACGGAAGAGGGAACCTTTATCTTCACCTCTTCCGCCCTCGATCCACTTCCGTTCCCCATACCACTACCTCCCACTCCTCCTGCTCCTCCGCCGCCGCCCCTTTCGCCATCTTCAGGTTCCATCGTCGAGGCAGATGAAAACTCCATCCGCCGGAAGCCGAACGCCGAGGCGAAGTCGTTCGCTGCAGCCGTACTGCTCACAAACCGAGGAGCACCAGCCATCCCACTCGTAGACCCTCCGACAGGATACGCAGTATCTGGTTGACCCGTAGCCGCTCTCTCCAAAGCCGCCATATCGTCTTCAGGAGCGCTGGCCTGCCGTAATTTCTCAACTGCCGCATCTACGGTGTCTTTGACATTGCCCTTGTCCTTCGCCATCAGGTATTCCGGGAGCATAAAATGCATCTGAATATTCAAAAAACAAATAGAGGAGGTAATAAAACAGTTCAAAAAACACAAACTTCCGTTAGAAGTTAGAACAGACGCGCATATAATGTAGTAAGGGACCCCTGGGTCTCCAACTGTCCAGTCATACCAGTGAAAAAACGGCGGCGTTCTTTCTTTTTTGAGAAAAAGAGAGAAAAAAAAAAAAAAAAGTAGTCCACAATCGATTCAACAAACTAAAAGGGGATTTTCCCCCAACTCCCAACAGGATAACATGCACCCGAACACGAATGAAACAAAACATGCACATTGCACACAATTCAGAAAATCCAAAACAACATTTGCGAGGCCTTCAGCTCCCTACTTTTTTCAAACAAACACAGCCCCTTCTACTCTGGGGGGCATCAGTCCGTTTGCTTATCACTGGCAAGCATGTATCCACAGCATAGAAGAGGCAGCTGGGGGGGGGGAGGGAAGAGGGGAAGGGGAAGGGGAAAGAGGAGACTTAGAGAAACAACTTCACCCTTGCGGCCGTAGTCACTCGCCCAAGGGGCGGACTTCTACAACCCACACCCCTCTCCAGACCCTGGCTCTTTTTCAGGGTTTCCCCTGCTGAATGGGGAGGCTTGCTAGCAGCACCCAGTCATACAGCAGGGGGATCCCAAGAAGGGCGAGGTACCTGGTGGTGGTGGTTGGGGGGGGGGGGGGGGGGGGGGGGGGGGGGGGGGGGGGGGGGGGGGGGGGGGGGGGGGGGGGGGGGGGGGGGGGGAGAGGGGAGGGGGGTCCCTAGCAGTCTTACAGGCGTCTTATCACCATCTCCCTCCTTTTTTCATGGCACCTGTCATTTTCTCTCCTCCCATCTTCTTCCGTTCTCTCCACATTGGGCCTCGCCTCGCTGCACTACTCACCACATGCACAAAAGACGAAAAATATGGCCGTGTATCTTTCCATGTTCTAGTGGAAGACCCATTACCATTTTGCACTTTTGGTAGAGTCGTGGAGCGAGGCCCATCCTCGTTCTTTTCCTCCCCCTTTTTCTACTCTCTATTTTCTTGGCAACCTTGCGCATACTCACACTCGGACTTTCTTACTTACTTCTGGATGTAATTGCAGCCAGATCCATCAAGGTTCACCCGTAAATGTGGCCTGATACATTTAAGATAGTGCTACAGTAGTGTGAATACGCCCTCAGCCTCTCATTTTCACAACGCCTCTGATTGCAAATTGCAGCAAGTACCAGAAGTCGTTTCGGCTATAGTGGGATGGCGCGGTCCCACAGCAACAGCGTTACAAAGGACAGTGTTGCAGCCTGCTTTCCCCACTGCGCTACCCCAAGCTCCCGTTCTTTTACGCCCCAATAGAAAGAACGTATGGTCATTATGGTCGTATTTGCCTCACATTCCAGTCCAGGTTCAGCAAAAATGACCGTACATTCTATTCGGGGCAAGAAGCCAACCAAATGACCCATAGTACATGTTTGGTAAACCTGCAGGCGACAAAATGAAAACGGGAGGGGGGGCAGCAGGGGGAAGCGTGTTAAAAAGAGAGGGGGAAGAGAGGGATTAATGAAAACAGAGAGAGAAGATATGGATTATCAGCACAATCCGCGCAAGGCTTCGATTTTGTACAAAGTTACAAACCTGACTGTAGCTTGCAGAAACACTTCTCTTTATTCGAAGCATCTCGCGGAATGTGTCCTCGTTCCCATGTTGGATCTGAAACAGATTCACAAAAGAAAGAAAATAAAAAACAACCCACAGGAAATCAGAACATATTGCGGAATGTATATATAGCGTTTACAGACGATGAAGAGTTCGAAACACAAAATGAGACAACATCCAAGTGCACAATGTCAGAAGCATCCCGCGGAATATGTTCGTCGGATCTCGCTGAATGTGTCCTCGTTCCTTATTGCCATAGGAAGCTCTCACAAGAAGAGTTAGTAATTGCTTAAGCCACGGTCACAATTTGCTGAATCAGTGGGTGGGCAAAATAAGGAAGGGCCTCATGGGGGACAAAATATTAGATAGGAGGGGGGGGGGGGGGAGTTAAAAGAGAAAGGGTGGCAAAAAGAAGAGGCGGGCCGATGGGAAACGCACAGGATGGAGCAAAGACAACACGCAAAGGGAGGTGGGTGTGGACCGTGTCGTGGGGTAGTAAACGCCTGAAGGTCAAGACACAAATGAGCGATGGATGTTGGGTAGCAAATGCCATCAAGAGATGGCTAAGGGGGTAGGAAATGCCAGCAAGCTAACCAAGCCCCTTGTTATTCTTTTCAAGAATGTACACGTGGGGGGGAGAACAAAGATAGGTTAGGGAATACAATGCTGTTAGGGGCTATATATCTAAAGTGAACCAACATTTCTCCACAAATCAAGCCAGATTTTTGCCTCTGTTTTCTTAATTTGAAAGCACTGTTAAAAGTCTTTTCTTGTTTTGATTTGGAAAAAGCACTGTTGACAGTCATTCCTTGACCACCAACTACAAAACCTGAGCCCCCTCTCCTCTGGACAAAAGCAACAACAAATCGCACAGTCGGAGAGAGAGAGAGAGAGAGAGAGAGAGAGAGAGAGAGAGAGAGAGAG